TTGAAGAGTTGGTGGATCTTACATCAAGAATCCTGTAGATAATACTTGTTGAGATGCTAGCTCTGTTTAACTCGGCTAGGCATCCTGGCTGCTCACAGCCAAGTGGGAGGTGTGTCCAATGACGTAAGACTAAGGACCTTTGGACACAGGCAGTCTAATGCTTATTTAGGAAGGGCCAACTGTGAAAAGGTTGCCAGAAAGTGATGTAAGTAGAGATGTCCAGGAAGCTGTTGACCCCTCGGCCAGCAGGGGTCTTACTGTGTCCATGTGTCTATTTCCACCTTTTGAAGGAGGCACTCAATTGATTTAGGACCAACCTGGGGAATTTTTATCTAGCTTAAAAGCATGGTATCATTTAATTGTAAACTATATTGAATGTGCCACTTGCAAATGAAAGTGAAGTTAGTCTTATTTATTGATTTGTTAAAGTGTGTGTTTCACTGTGTAAGGATGCAGAGGTGAAGTGGCTGCTTCGTTCTGTAACAACGATGGTTGAAACACTTCTTAGACTGCTGAGCACACAGGCCTCGGCTGTTTTCTGGGGAGACGGAGAAGCTGTGTTAGATTTATGCTCGGTTCTTACTTTGTTATCAAGGGCTTTCCATTTCCCCTCTGCTGACCTCAGGGTCAGGTCTGGCCTGCCTTTCTTCCTCTTTCCTGCCTTCTCGTTGAGCCTGTGTGGCTGTCACTTCCGCGACTTGTCTGACGTTCTGGTTGTTGCTTTAGATCTGGTTTAGGTCAATGTCAGACATGCCTGTTGGCTCCTTGGTGTTTCCTGACCCGGCTTGTGACACCAAATATCTCTTTTTGCTCACCAACACCATTCCATTCTTTGATAACAATAGAGTATTTTAAAAATTCAACTAAATATTTATATTAACACTAAGAGTTCCGGGCTCAGCCTTACAGACCACCTTCACTTTGGATTCCCCCGACAAATGATGGCCCAGATCACCCACAAGTTCAGAACTTCCTGTGATCACCCTGCAGGTTTGATAATTATCTAGAACGTCTCAAGGAATCCAGGAAACCGCTTCCCTGGCATCTACTGGTTTATTACAAGGACACCTGAATGGCAGGTAGTGGGAACACAGCACTTTCATACTTTCCCTGCATGTGCCACTGTCCCAGGTCCTCTGTGTTTGTGACCCCGGGGAAGTTCTTAGACGCTTATTCAGGATTTCTCCTAGAACCCACTCTCCAGCCCCACTGCTCCTCCTTCTTTCTTGTGGGTCAAAGGTGGGGCTCAAAGTCTGAACCCTATAATTGTAATAATGTTTGCCATTTCTGGTAACCAGTCCCACATTGAGTCTAGGGGTCCTACCCTGTATCACCCCAATCACACAAAATCATAAAATATTAAGGTTGCAGAAGCTTTGAGCTAAAAGTCACACATGTATGCATGCACACACACACATGCATGTGCATGTGTATATGTTTATACACACTAGTATACTATAGTTCTAAAATGAGATCTTAAATATCATGCTTATGAATATTTCTACTGGCTTCTTCCTGGTCTTTGACATTGTTCCAGGCCTTATCTTCTTCGTTCACAATGCTGGGTTCTCCGATCTGATGTTACATGGCTAGAATAAAAAGGATGTGGAGGTTTCAAGTGATTTAGGGCATGAGACATTTCTCTAATACATTTGTGGTTTTGGAACTGTGTATTCTAAAGTAGAATATGGCTTTTACAGCTGGGTCACTCTGCTGTTCATTAATGAAGTCGAAAAAAACCAGCTTGGAAGGCATTTCACTTAGCTGTGCTGAGCCCAGAAATGGACTCTTGGTAAACACTGAAATTAAAATGGAAAAAAGCTTTCTTGGCTGAGTGAGGGAAACATTTGTGCAAGTTTCAAAAGAATTGAGGTCAAATAACTCAAACCGGAGTGGCTGCAAACCAGAAACTTAGCTCTGCCTTCTTTTGTGTTGCCTTAAAATAATAGGAGCAAACGAAATGAAACAAAACTCTTCCCATGGACCTAAGCTGTAGTGTGAGAACAATGGAAAACTGTTTTCTCCTTTCTGAGAATTTATGAAAAATAATCTTTTTTCCCCCCATTTAACATTATCATGTAGACATTGTTTTGTTGTTTCTGTTTATCAGTTTTCCATCCCTGTGACAAAAAACTGAGCTAATGTGATTGAGGACTGGTTCCCTTTGGCTTATGCTCTAGGGGGGTCTCTGTCCATTGTCAATTGGCCTCACTGCATTAGGCTTGTGCTGAGGCAGAGCATCCTGTGTGGTGGAGGACTGTTCACCTCATGGTGGCTAGGAAGCAGAGAGACAGGGGTCTGTGTGGAGGACATAGAGATCAGGGTCCCAAGGTCCTCTTCACAGCCGTGCCTTCTGTTAGCTAATTTCCTCCAACTAGGTCTCACCTCCTGAGCTACCACCACTTGCCAACAGTGCCAATAGGTTGAAGACCAAGCTTTAATACCTGGGGCACTAGGGACATTAAAGATCTAACAGGTATATGCAACATGCATCCCAGGGGCCACATGCATCTCAGGATAGCTGTGAATGTGGCCTAACCTATTCACAGATGACAACCACATATCACAATATCAAAAAGTTGGATATTTCTGGCAAACCATGGCAGTGCCAATATATACTTGTCCTGAAGACCATAGATATAGGATAATATAGTGATTTGAGGTAGAAGTCCTTATGCTAGATCAGCCTGCCACCCTTGGGCTGGACAACTTGGAGAGAGTCACAGAAATGCTATCTGCCTCACTTTGGTCACCTATAATTAGGGCGATAATGGTGGTCCACTAGCAAGTTCAGTGATGATGAAAAAGATGTCACCAATGTCATGCATTATCGTTGAAATGGATATTTTATTGTCAAATATGTATTTAGTAGAATATTTATAAAATACTGAAAACCAGAAAAAAAATCATAATCATCCATTATTTTAAAACCCAGAGAAAGTACTTATTCAATGTAACATTTTGACTATTTTTTCTTTTTAAAATATTTTCCTCTTACTTGGTTGGAATAGCAAACACATTACATCATAGCTTATTAAATATGATTATTTTCCCCCAATCGAGCATTTGATACATATTCTTTGTACACATTAAGATTGTAAAAGATCTCATGAGTCATTGTTGTAATCATATTTTACCTAACATTTCCTCAATATTTGATATTCAGAACACTCTCTGTCTCCAAATAAAACTGAAGTGATCAGAGATTAACATCCACGGAAACAGTCAAGGGCCAGACCTGCCCCTGGCCTGAGTGAAGTCTGCCGCTGTTTGTCCAAGGGTGTTATCAGTATTGGTCCATAAACTGTGACCAGACGGCTGGCCGTGTTGTGAAAAGTATGCTAGTGACATCTTTGTGATGCTTTTTTCTTCTCCCGTATTAGCAGATACCTCCTTATGTTCGATCCCAAGAAACAGAAGGCAGGGTGGAGGGGCCACAGGGGTTATTCTCTAGAGCAGGTGTATTGCTTTTAGACTGGAGGCAATAATGTATGGGCCCGCCCCACTTTCTGTGGGCCTCTGATTTGGAAGTTTGAGGGGTATTTGGCTTTACCAAAGCTCTGCAACTGAGTTAATACTGATTAAAACTGACATCGGCTTCCACCCAATCCTTCCCTCCTCCAGGGTTTTCCTTTTTTCCCACCTCTTGGCTCAGGGTTTTCTACACTCCCATCTCCCGTCACCCTGCCCCACGTAACCTTCCCCTTTTCAGTCTGTGGATGTGGTATAATGACGTCATCTCCATTCAGAAGTTAGTGATGTTAGCGGCTGGGAATCTTACTCCTCGTGGAGTGTTTATATCTGAATAAAGGCTTCCTGGGCCCTGGCTGAACCCACAAGGCTGAAACTGATATGGTACTCAAAAGTATGGACCCTTAAGTCACACGAGTCAGTGGTGTCCTCCATGCAAGGCCAGGGCTATGTATGGAGAGCATAAGGCCAGCTCTTGAAAAGCCTCACTGTTCTCTCTTCTGAGGAACTGACTACCCAGAGTGGATGCTCACCCTCTTAAGGGGAAGAGCTTCTCTGAGAGAATCTTTAGGAGGAATTGTTTGTGAAGTTGATACAATAAAAGACCATTCGCAGTAGGGTCAGAATCTTTACGTAAACTACAACTTTATGATGCCAGGCAGGGCTCCTTTTATGGCTTGTATTAATCATCTGCTTGAAATTGCTCAAAGTACTGAAGGACTTTGCTTGCACAGCTTATGAGTTTGATTTAACTGTGTTTCCCTGGGGAAGCAGAGCCAGGGACCTCTTGCCTGAAGTCCTGACAGTCGTGATCAGAGGGAACTCTGAGTGTCAGAAAGTCAGACTCTTGCTCTTCTGCAAGGTCACAGGTGATCCTTGTGGCAAGGACCATTACATGTCACTAGTCGGAGACCTGCATGTCCACTATACTGGGCTTAAAAGCCAAAGAAACATTTAGATGTGCCTGAGAGAATGGAAGACAGCTGGAGAGAAGCAGATGGTACCTAGATGGACAAGGATGGGTAGAGACAAATGATTAGTGAGATTCTAAAAGGGGAGCGGGGCTGGAGAGGTGGCTCAGCGCTTTAAGTGCACCTCCTGCTTTTGTAGAGGACAGAGTTCAGTTCCCATTGCCCATATAACAGCTCATATCCACCCATAAAAAAACTGTCGAGATGACTCAACAGCTAAAGGTGCTTGCTACTCAGACTGATGACCCAAGTTGATCTCCAGGACCCACATGGTGGAAGGAGAGAACCCACATGGGCATGCATATGTGCACAAATAAAACATAAAAGGGCAGGAATATGTCCTTCAAACAGTCCTGGGTGGCCTGATAGGCAGGAAGGGAAGGGAGTGGAGTGCTTAGCTCAACCCATAGTTCTCAGGATGCTGGCTTCCCGGAAGGAAGATAGACTTCAGCAAAGGCAGTAGATACCGAATAGAGCTGATCTGACACCAGCCTCCCCTTCCTCAGGTCATAGAGTGATCTTTCCTTGGTGCTCATAGTCTCCTCTGCTTCCTTTTAGCTTGGTCTAGCCTGGTGATGGCCCCACTGGTTGCTGCTGTATCCAGTCCACGTGCCCGGCTCTTTGCCTATTTCCTTAGGCTGGGCACTCAGCAGGCTGTACCCCTCCAGCTGCACACAGGCGCCTGCTGCACAGCCAAGAACCACTATGAGGTGCTGGTGCTGGGTGGGGGCAGTGGGGGAATCACCATGGCCACTCGTATGAAGAGGAAAGTGGGAGCAGAGAATGTGGCCATTGTTGAACCCAGCGAGGTAAGTGTCCCTTGGCATGTGTGAGAGCAGGCATGTGTATGTGTTAGGCTGTGTGGGTGCATGGTTTTTATGTTTTGTGGTTAATGCTTTTCCTGGGCATGAAAAAAGGAGGTGGTGAGGGTCTGGGAGGAGTTTGGGGAGGGGAAAGAATATGATCAGAATATGTTGTATGAAAACAATTCTTTTAAAATAATAATAAAAATGCATTGGGAGAAAGTGGAGGGTGCTTGAGCATGAGGCAAAACCTCGAAGCCTTTTGTGCCTCTTCAGTTCTGGCTCATTAGGGCTGCCACAGCAAATTACTGCAACGTGCATGGTTAAAACAGCAAAGACACGTTCTCTCACATTGTTTGAGGCTACTAGTCCCAAACTATTGACCGGGTCATACTCCCTCTGAAGGTTGGATGTTGGGCAGCAAAGGACTTGCTCTGCTTCCCCTGCCAGGTTCTGGAAGTTAGGGGCAATCCTTGTCAAGCCACGTTTGCAATGGCATCTCCCTTCTTGGTCCTTGTCTTTACATGATATCCTCTAGGTGCCTCTGTGTTGTGCAAATTTTAACCTTGGGGTAGGCCAGGGTTAGGAAAAGTGTACCCCATTCCCATAAAGTCCCAGCAATAAACCAAATTTGACTGCAGAAACCAATGGGTTTCCTAGGGTTACTTACAGAGCATGGGGAAGGGTTTTGGGCAGTAGAATAGGTGATCCTGAAGCAGTCTCCCTGGAAGGTCTGCAATCATCATGGATGACGACTGACACATGGCTGTGTATTATTGAGCCCTTCCCTAGTCCTTACATACCTGTATACTCTAACCTCTTCCTGGAATCCCCAAGGACACATGCAATTAGGGCAGAGTTGTATACACTGGTTGTGTAGGGTGGCAGGATACTCAGTTGAGAGTTCCACGACATGCCCCCTCCATCCCTTTATTCTATGAAGGACTGTCAACAATCAACAAACCCAGTTGTGATGGTCTTGCTGACATCCTGAAGATGGTGGCAGTATGGCTCCGAGGATTATCCTGTACAACATTGTCACTAGGTGTCCATAAAACCTTCTTACAAGGACACAATTTAAAGGATCTATGGTGCCCCTTATTCAAGTATGACCTCATCTTAACGTGGCCAAATCTGCTTTCAAATTTAGTCACCGTCAGCTGAACTGGGCTTTGAATATCAACATACATCTTTTAGGAGACTTTAGATTCAACTCATGATAGCCTCCCACTCCAACCTTTTGTCCAGAGGAAAATCAGCAGGCAGCACCCTTTCCCATGTCTGTGCTTTCCCCGAGAAGGGGAGATGAGACGTGGGCAAGAAGACCCCAGCGAAGCTGTCCAGGGGCTTAAGAAAGTTGGGTTGAAGGGGCCTATCAGCGTCATGGGGAGAGCAGATGCTTGGTCTGAGGTGGGAGACCAAGTGAAACACTGCTCCCTGGAAACAGTTTAAGATTACAGAAGCTTCAGAGAAACAGTCAAGACTTTTGGTGGTCTGCCTAATGTTTCCCCAAAGAGGAGCTAAGTATGGGCCAGCTGGGATATGTACCCATGGCAGAAGAAAGCCAAGTGGGCCCAGTGCCTGTTCTGAGGCAGGTGGGTAGGACAAGAAAGACATGTTCCTGTTTTGTCAGTGAATGAGACTTCCCTAGGACACGATACAAGAAACCAAAATCTCTCCATATTGCCAAAAATGCTCTGCCTTTTTGGCCAGTTTGGCTGGCCAGAGCAGTCTAGTATTCAGAGGGTGGTAAAGGAGATAGAGGAATAGTTTGTCATCTCCCTAAGCTCATAATGGTTTTTAACCCAGGAAGACCACCTCAAATGACAGTGGTCTGAGAGCTGTATCAGGTGGCTGTCTTCTCTGGTGCATACTGTATTGTGGCTGACCCACAGTGCGTCTCCCACCGGTACTTTTTGTTTTCTAATGTGTATAGCTTTTCTGGGAACTGAGCAGTCATTTCTCCCACTAAAATTCTCACCATCTGAACCTGCTTAGCTTTGACGATCAGACAGGATCAGGCGTCTTTTTTGATGGATTGGCTGTAGGCTGGACAGTCATCTCTGTCCTGTCCTATGAGAAAGCACTCATGAGACCTTTCTTGAATGAGCTGGTCATGCTCAGGTTTTGGATGCCTGCTGTGCCTGATTGCTGGAGCTGATGTTTGTAGACTGAAGAAACCCTTGAGCTGGTGTTTTTGTTCCACTTTCTGCTCAAGATGGACTCAAAATTGATGAGCCCTCACAGCCGGAGGTCTCTGTCCTCCTCTGTTAGGATCACAACCATTATGAGCTTAGGGAGATGACAAACTATTCTTCTATCCCCTTTACCACCCTCTGAATACTAGACTGCTCTCGCCAGCCAAACTGGCCAAAAAGGCCGAGCATTTTGGCAATATGGAGAGATTTTGGTTTCTTGATCTACCCAAATGAGTGAACTCTTGCAGCCTATTAAATTAACCTGCCCTTTGCCCCAAGCCCAGAATTCTCACAATTAATGTAGATTAAGAATAGGCTGTCTGAAGCAAGAGTGCTGTAGAAGACTCTGAAAATTTATTTGTGTTTTGCTTTGTGAAGAAAAGTGTGGCACCTATTGGATTTGGGTGTAGAACCCCAGAGAAAGGAAAAGACAGATGAACCAGAAGCACCTACAGTCTTTTGTGGGAAAATAGTTTGAAGTTAGTGAGGTTTTGATGACCCCCAGAAATGCCAGTGAGCTTTCTAGACTTGCCATAATTTTCACATTCTTTGAAGGAACCATGTATTGCTTCTGGACTTAATTTTTCTTACTATCTATACATGTAAGTTATGCACATAAATAGATATATATGGCCTGTCTGTATTTCATATATGTAATACATACATAATAAACCAAGTCAACATTTAGCAATAAGAAATTGTGGCTAACCCAGTAGTCATTAATGAAAACTTACCATTTTTTTTGTTGGTCTTGGAAGTACTCTTGGTTGGTGATATTTCAGAGTTAATGTACTAGAAGATGCAACAGTGGGGAATTAACCCTCCACGGGCTTCTCTGTGCAATGCTCTAAGGGCCAGGAAGGGCTAATTGAGAGTCTAAGTTGAAATAACGTCAGCTAAGCCTCTTTAGATAAGGCTCCAATGGAAACAAACCTCCTTAACACTTTGTTTCTCAGAGACACTTCTACCAGCCAATATGGACATTAGTGGGTGCTGGTGCCAAGCAGTTGTCCTTGTCCGGCCGTCCCACAGTGAGTGTGATTCCATCTGGTGTGGAGTGGATTCAAGACAGAGTGGCAGAGCTGAACCCAGACAAGAACTGTATCCGCACAGACAACGGCAAGGAGGTAACCATCACGGCTGTTGGGTTTTCTTGTCTGAGGGTGGCGTACCCATTCTCAAGCTGCACACTCTCACGGTAGAAGATGGCATAGATGCCCATGTTTGTATTTACATCTCTGTGTTAAAGCTGCACAAGATGGCGGTGTCTAGTAAATGGAAGACAGGTGGAAGGCTTGAGTAGTTTTGAATTAATTAATGAAAACACGTATTTGTTGAACACCCACTGTGTGATACAGTGGCCCTCGTTGAGTATAGAGTTGTGTGACCGAATTTTTGTTGAACAAATGCTATTTCTACATGTTAAAATTGCAGGTACATTTCCCCCTTTCCTTTGAAGTAAGCTAGTATTTCTAACTGACACCTGGTTTTCCATTAAGAGGTGAGTATTGGGAAATATCCACACCAGTCTTGGTAGGGGCACAGTTAGGGGGAGTCCTGTGACTAAGGTTTGTCCCAGCACTGTGGGGCAAGTAATGTCCCAGAGATGAGGTTCAGAAGTGCTTAGCGCTGTTAAGATGTTACTTCCTACACTAGACCCACAGGGTTTTCCACAACTCTTTTCTCCACATTTGATGGAGCAGCTGAGAGGACAGTGATGAGACCACAGGTCCAGTATCCAGTTGCAGTTTCCTGTTCCTATCTGCCTCTGAGCCCCGAACAGCAGCGGCCAGTCAGTTCTCCAGGGAACTCACCCTCGCCACAGGCCCCTCCCAGAGTTCCCTTAGCACAGGGCCCATCATGCTTTATGGTATGTTATACAGAAGCCATGCCCTCCCTCACTTCACAAAACACCCCTGGAGGATAAAGGTTGCATCTTCTCCTTGTAGTCCTAAGGAACTCAACAGTGCTTGCCGGGTGAGTGGATATACAGGCAAACACTTTCGGTTGCTTGTGAAAAATAGAGTTTCATCAAAGTAGACGGATAATAACATCCATCCTGATCTCTAGTCTGTGCCATTAAGAGAGTCAACACCTTGACATTCTTGGTTCTGTAGGAAATTTAGCCATTGAAGGACATGGGAAGCAGCAGGGGCCCTTGGGTCTGGGATGATGCCCTAAAGGGAAAACACAGGAACACTGCAACGGAATGCTATTTTGCTCTACACATACCTTGGTGGTTTTATCAGAGTATAAAATCGGTTATTTGTAAGGACTGGGCACAGGCAAACTTGTGAGAGGGAGGTTGTTAGGAAAGAAAAAGCCTAGCTAGAAAGAAAACAAAAAGCAAGCCTCGAGCGTTTAGAACAAGTTTCCAAGCCAAGGAGGCTGCAAAGCTTGTAGACACAGCTTTTGAGCAATTGCAGAGACCAGCATAGACCTTGCCAGAAGGCCAAATACGGACAAGTCTCCTCATTTCGTACAAGGGTGGGGGCGTGGACAGGGTGAGGAATCCTGACACTAAGAACCTAGTAAATCAGAAGCTAAACCCTTGCAAAACTCCAGGCTCGCCTACTAAACAAATGTCACATAGTAATTTAGAGACAGAAGTGTGCCAACAAAGGTTCAAAGATGACAAACCCGCCTTCAGCCAACGACTAAGCTGTACTGGCTCACAGTGAACGCGCAGTCCATATTTCCTTTCCCTTTTTAACGTTCTTTATAAAACAGTAACAACACTTCTTGAGCACACACCTGCGCAAAGCACTGCTCTAAGTGCTTACAGGTTCCCCCTCATTGAGTGCTCAGAGCAGCTCAGCAAGGTAGGCACTGTTCTCATTTCACAAATGAAGAAACCGAGACATGGCTTCCTTACAAGTATTGACTGCACACTTTCTAGGTCCTAGATGTCATTCTGGAGACTGAACATGCAATGATGAGCAAGACAGAGAGTTTATCTCCTTCAGGAACTCAGTCTGATGGGAAAGATAAGGGCTTCAGGTAATCACACAAGAATTTACTAAGCTGCAGCATGGCAAGAGGGAACCAACCAGGTTTGTCAGGTCAAGGGAGGCTTGCCTAAAGCGATCCTTTCTAAGTTAAAGGGTGAGTAGGCATTAGTTAGGGTTAGAGGTGGGAGCTACATGCAAATGCTTTGGGGGAAAAAGGAAGCAGAGGAGGAAACAGACACCAGTGTGGCTGGAGTAGGAGGGGGAAGAAGGAAGACAAGTTTAGAGAAGAATTAAGGGGTGTGGTCTAGAAAACAGACGCCCGATGCAGAAGTGTCAGAGACACAGTCTAGGTTGTAGAAGTGACGACAAGTCCAGTTTCTGTCTAGTGTCTGTGGCAGGAGAAGGTAAACTAAGAATAGAATGATTTGGTAAATTGAATCGTGTTTGCTAAAGAACACTGATTAACTTATGCAATCGGAAGAAAGCTCTCTAGGGACATGTCACAGAATTAAAACGAACTTAAATGAGCCCATCTGTGCTGAAAATTGCTAACTGGGTGACAAGAATCATAAATCCAAGACTCAGACACAGTGGGAGTATAAATTGAAGCCAACAGGATATTTCCCACGAGATGTTATGTGCCGAGTTCTGATACTATCAGCTTATGCTGTACTCTGCTCAATAAAGTCCTGGAATAACACCCTACCAGATTCACTAACTTTTTCCCTAATCTCAAAAATAAGACCCTACAATTTCCCCAAGTTTCTGAGCCTTAGAAGACACAAATGGTACATGGTTAGAACATCTACTAGAGTACTTATTCTCAAGAGATGTAAAAACTTGCCGGACGGTGGTGGCACATGCCTTTAATCCCAGCACTCGGGAGGCAGAGCCAGGCAGATCTCTGTGAGTTCGAGGCCAGCCTGGGCTATCAAGTGAGTTCCAGGAAAGGCACAAAGCTACACAAGAGAAACCCTGTCTCGGAAAAAAAAAAAAAAAACAAAAAAAAAGAGATGTAAAAACTTGATAATCCTCAAGATAATGAACCTAATACAGAGACACTGAGGAATCCTCAGATCTCCAAGGGGTCTGTCTACTCAATGAGGCAGGCTTGGTTGTACCAAGGAGCCATGTGTGGTATCAGGGAGAAGCCTCTTGACCTATGAGCAAAAGACTGCTAGGTAAAAAAAGCCACGTACACATGTGCACATATATTTACTTGTATGTGCTTGTATATGTGTATTTCTGCCAGGTAAAATGAAGAACAGCTTTTCTGTCTTCCAGGGTGGGGCAGATGGACTCAGCAGTGGGTTGTGTAGGAAGGAAGGAATGGAGAGTTGTGAACTGACCTTGAGCTCAACATGATTGAGCACTGCACACTGTCACTGAAAAAGGCAAACACAGCACCTAACTGTGAGAGAGAACAGTCCTGCTGGTTCTAGGCCATTCTGTAGTGCTCCTATCCCTCCTCCTGGGCATGTTGTTCATGATAACATTAATAACTCAAATGATATTCCAAGCAGGAATAATAATTAATAATAATAATAATTAATAACAATAATAATTAATAACAATAATAATGATATTCCAAGCAGGGCATCATCCCATACCCCAGACCTCTTGTCATTTCCATAGCTGGCTTCCCTATGGAACCAAGAATGTCAAGGTGTTGACTCTCTGTGGGCAGAGCACACAGACCTGGATTTGTTTTTTTCTGTTAACCTTGATAAACTTTGTTTTTTTAAAAATGAAACTAAAACTGTTCCTCCATATATTTATTCATCCAACAAGCATGGCTGGTTCCTCAACAGGTTCTAGGACTACAAGGAGAAGTTGCAAACTTTATCCTCTAGGAGTGATCTGTGATGTGGGGGAGGGCATGGCTTCTGTATGACATGTCCACTGCCATAAGGCATCACGGGCTCTGTGCTGAGGAAGCCCTGGGAGGGGCCTGTGGCAAGGGTGAGAGGCACAGGGAAGCCTGGGCATCTTGGAGCCAAGCCTCCCTTTGGGCAAGATGGGTCCTCTTCAACAACTGCTGTATGCCTCAGACAGAGTGGGACACTCTCAAGTCTGGAGTCCACTCTCTAACTGGGGTTTGCTCAGCTTGCTGCCTGTCCTTCTTAATTTGAGATCATGGAGATTCCCACCCATGTCTCCTTGCTGGGCTCCTGGTTCTTATCCATGTGTTTTCTGGTTTAGCTATTTTTAAGGAATGTTTTTATACTTTGCATCCCTCTTACAGTTTCTTGTCCCAATGTGTCTGCCCCTTGATCCTAAACATATATATCCATTACCATATTTATGGATATCATTGTCTTCAGTATGAACAGTCACAATACCCATTTAAATCATTAAACATAAATATTGCATCCTTTTCAGTGACCTTTGAAGAAGTTTCTCAATTATGATATTGGTTCAGCTCATATTATAGATCAGATTCATATATTGCCCATAGATCTAAAAAGAACTGACTATCTTTTTGAGATTAGAAAGTTGTTCTTATCCACTCCAGTTTGAAAAAAACACAAGTTTTGCACAAAGGATTATCTGGTGTGTAAAATTATAGGCATCCCAAGCTTTCAGAGGCCAGGCAGAGGATTTTTGAGCCACGAGATCTGAGGCTACAGAAAAGGAAGAAGAATGTTCAACTGTAGTGTGTATCTAACTCCTCCCACCCTGCCCACCACCATCCACCTGGAGGCACTCACATCGGTAAATGGAGGCACGGTGCTGATTTTTGAGCATTGGTCTAAACTATATGTCTTCTGATGTGTGTTGTAGATCTCCTACAGATACCTTATCATCGCTCTTGGAATCCAGCTGGACTACGAGAAGGTACAATCTTCAGTTCTTGCTGTGTTGCACCCTCTAGTTTATGCTAAGACAAAACTAAAACTCTGTATTCTTTCTTTCCATTCATTGGTAATAGGGAAATGGTTCGAAGATACTGTGCCCCACCGAGCTGTAATTATTTCCCAGAGACCTTTCACTGATGCCAAAAAATCTTCTCTAAGATCCTGTCAATGACAACAATGTGTTGTAGCTTTAAGCACAGCTCAATATGCTTGTGCCCTAACTGTGTTTCTTGCAGAAACCTCCTCTTTCTGCACTCCCAGGAAGTTGGCCTTGTTATGAAGGGCTGGGCTGGCCCCATAAAGAACTGGATTTCCTTTGCAAAGCAGATCTAGTTTGAGTTCTGAAGCCGACTGTAACACCAGAACACAGCAGTTAGTTCATCAGACTCTGGAAGCGTATTTAGGGGTTATTGTATAGAGACTTGAGTGTTTGGGGTATGAAGCGACCCACACGATATAAATGCGACCTAGAAGCTTTTTAAGTGTGTTTTCAGCAAGCAAGGGAGCCACATGTTCCCTGAGAATTGTGAGATTCAAGTTGGGTGTCCTAACACACCAGAGTGATCCCTTTGTTGTGATGATCCCCAGGAAGGTGGCGGAGAGTTTTGATGCAATAGGACAAATACAGAAAGCCTGGTGGGGACCCAGGCTGCAGATGTGGGATCCCACTTCAGGAGAGGTGGCCCAGCAAGGGTCTTTGGGTGTGTTTAGATGTGAAGAATCACGACATGCCTGGGGAAGGGTAGTGAAATGTGTCGAGATATGTTATATGAAAGTTCTCTAGTGACCTCCTTGCCTTGTGAAGAGGATGGAAGAGGGCAGGATTGAGAATTTGTAGTGCTCTCTTGTAGCAAGCTAAGAAACAACAGTTTTTAAAGGCAGCCATTACAATGGAAATCCTACTACTCATCAAGAGAGATGCTGGGGAGTGATAGTGATCCTTTACAGCTTCTGATGAGGAAGGTATTTTTCCTCCTTTTCATAAATGGGGAAACTGAGGCTAAGGGAATGTAACTTAAGTGTGTCTAGCATGCTCCCAGGTATTCTTTGGGTGAAAATTCCAGAAAACTTCTCAAGTGAATGTAAAGCACAAAAGAAGGCAACCATTTGCAGATATGAGATCCCCGTGGAGCACTAGGCAGGCGGCATGTGATGGTCTCTGGCAGGCTGGATCTTCACTCCGTCTGTTGGATGTACGGGGCTCTCATGCTTGACATGGACCATCTGTCTGTGCTCTTTCTCACGCCAGCTCCGTTGAGTATCTTCAGCGTGGTGTCCTGCTAGTTCATTGGTCTGTCGTGTGACAGGCAGGCTCGTCCTCAGCTCCCCAGCACACAGCCTACCTTTCTTTGTACTACCAAAGGGCAATTTCATTTCTCCTCTTCCCTGATCCTCATGTGTTCCCCTCTTGGCTCCCATCTCTCTGCCTCAGAATTTCCTGAAAGCAACTCTGATTGATGAGG